CCCCAAGGACCACCAGAAGAGATCCCTGAGTGCAGGACCAGGAGTAATCCCTGAGCGACACTGAGCGTGGCCAAAAAAAAAAAAAACAGAATTTTTTTTAAAGGGAAATAAAGAAAATGAGTAAGTCCCTTCTAAGCATACAAAAATATAAAAGCCATAAGGCAAAGGCAGTAAATTCAAGTACATTTCTTAAAGATCACAACCAGAAAAATAGAAACAGCAGTGAGATCATAAAACAATTGACATATACAAGCAAATAAATGACCAAAAGAAAAAGCAACAGAAAAGGTTCTACACAGATGCAAAAGGCTCTCACCCTCACTGCTAATAACACTACAATCGCATCTACAACAGAACTTTTCCACAAATATTGGCAAAGATTATCACAGAGTTTGCATGTGGGAAGTTCCTAGTGTGTGACACTAATACAAACTTCCTCTATCAAAAAAGATGAAATCTTGCCTCCTACAACAATATTGTAAGAACCTGAGCAAAGACACTAAGCCAAGTCATAGAGTGAAAGAGGACTGCTGAATGGTTTCTCTCAGGTAGAATATAAAGAACCAAAACAAAAGCACTAATTATAACAAAAATAACTCCAAAAAAGAAAGAGATTAGCAGAGGGGAGAGTGAAGGGGGCTGGGAGGAAAGTGTAAGGGAATCAACTTGATCCTAAGAATGGCACTTGAACTTCGGTGGCAGTTTTTTTTGGCAAGAGTGGTGAAGCACTTTGGTGAGTGTTGTGAAACATTTACAGAGAGGTGTAAAGCTGCACCCCCACAATCCATGTACCATTGTACACCAATAAAAAAATCAGCAACATTTTAATTGGGAATAGTCCACAGTCCTCAAAGATGAGTTTTGAAATCTAGTCAGTAAAAGGATATTACAGACTTCATTGGGGCCAGAGTACAGCAAGTAGGACATTAGCCTTGCATGCCAGGTTCAATCCCTGTCATCCCATATGTCCCTAAACCCACCAGAGTGACCCCTGAGTGCAGAGTCAAGAATCAGCTTTGAGTACCACAAGATGTGACTCAAAAACCACACCAAAAAGCATATTTTACTGACATATTTACACAAACTAAAATTTAAAGAAATTGACATAAAGATTAGTTAACACATACTAAAGGTTGGAGAGACAGTACAGCAGACAGAGTGCTTGCCTTCCATGCAGCCAACTCAGGTTCAATCCCTGGCATCCCACATGGCACCCCAAAAACCACCAGGAGTAAAGTAAATCCTGACTGCAGAGCCAGGAGTAACCCCTGAGCATCACCAAGTGTGGTCCAAAAATCATATAGTAGTAGTAGTAGTAGTAGTAGTAGTAGTAGTAGTAGTAAAATAAAATAGTAACCAAGGAGCTACTGAGATTGAAAAAAAAATCCTGTTGCCAAAAATTGTAGTATCTCACTAATGTATCTAATGGCATAATTTGATTGTGACAGAAAACATCCTGAGCGTGTGTGGATGTTTAGCCTGACTTGAATAAATACTAATTATTAAATATAGATTATAATTACTTTCCTAAGAGAGGATATTATAGTGGTCTTCAAATGAGGGCTGCATACCCCTCATTAAAAGTATACAGAAAAGATATAGCTATAAGTTATATGTTTCTTAATACTGTAAATCTACATCGACTATGTAGTAATACCACTTTCTTTCCCAAATAAAATAGAAATGTTCTAATATTTTCTTATTATATTTCAATATAGCATGCCCTTGAGTATTCACATGCCACTCTGAATAAGCATTTATGAATATGTAAAAAGGCAGCAGATATTTCAATCAGTTTCTCTGCCCATGACCTTCTCTGGTAATAGATATTAACTTGAAATTAAATAGAGATGACTAAAGAAAAAAAGTATAATGTAGTCATCACCAGACAAATGGCCTATGACTTAATGGTAAATAGTACTCATTGAAGATAATTAATATTTTCCTTATAAATTATGTTTGCAACCCAATACCCAATGTTGAAAACTACTTAATAAATTGTCACATTATCCAAAACAATGTCTCTGATTACTATAACTCTATAATAAAGTCTATTCTTTTACCAAGCTACTCCTATTTTCTTAGAAAACAAAAGGCGTTTTTAAAGACTGTCTGAAATTAAGTTTTCAAATATATTATACTCTATTTTCAACTCACTAAAATAAAACATAAAAATAAGTCTAAAATTATGTAGGCCATATTTAAGTTATGATCCCTCCAATAATAAGGTAGACACAGATATTAAAATTAATAAGCTTACTATCATAATTTCAAAAATAGTTAAAGGATGTTTGCTTTCACCTAAACTATGTAAGCATGCAACCAATATCATAGTGACTTACACAGAAATGTAATATATAGACCTGGAAAACCTTTCTGAAATGTTTTCCGTCCACTTATAATAATTCCGGGATCATTACTAAAAGTTCACTTAAACTTCAAATTTCTACATAAGAAAAATATATTTAGAAATATATAGTGATTATTACTTAAAATGTCATAAGCACATTTAAGCATGTGGGTCAAAAGAATAAAGTTCCATTTTATATGAACAGCATCTTGGCAACACTGATTTTACTGTAATTATAGTAAAAACACAAAATCATATTATGTAAATATCAAACTGCTAGTCATCAAAATCCTGGCTTATGTCATATATTTCATAAACTTAAGCAAAGTTCAGACTGTGCACTATTGAAAAGAATGGAATCTTGCCACTGTGCCAATATGAACGGTCCTTGAGGGCATTGTGCTAAAGGAAATAAGCCTGACAGAGACAAATACCTTCGGACCTTGCTAGTAAGTGGTTGTTAGAGATGCGGGGTAAAGGGGCGACGGATGGGGCTGAGAGGAGCAAAGAAGTGCAAACCAGGGCCAGAGAGATCTGGCTCAAGTGTCTGGCTGAAGCACATGCTCTGCATCAGGGGTCACTAGTCCCAGGCACCACACGGTCCCCACTGCTTCTGAGCAGCACTGGGAAAGGCCCGAAAGTACAAAGTATCAGTTATCAAATAAATGAGTCACAGTTCTTAATTTATAGCGAGAGAGCTATGGTTGATACTGTATTATCAATTTGAGAGTTAGCGCATCACAAGGGGAAAAAAACTGCAAATGACTGAAACCAAGGAGAGTGTGGCAACCCCTTTACACCATCTATAAATATCAGTGACCAAGCCTGAAGGAAGTTATCACAGGCCAGCTCTCCACAGAGACACGGAAGAAATGCTTTGCTATCCAGCAGTCGAACCAAACTACTTAAATCTCTTAACTTGTCTTCTTTCCCAAGATTCTAGTAAGTTACATTCCCAAACACGTATTCAAACCCGGAAAGCAGCTTCTAAAAAGCAATTCTCAGTTCCCGTCAATGAGTAAGGAATGCATCTGTTCTCTTGAGCCACACATAGACTGGGGACCTGGAGGGCAGGACTGGGCCACACTTAGCGGTTCTCAGGGCTACTGCAGGCTCTGGGCTTCGGGGTCAACTCCGAGAGGTGCTCAGAGACCCAAACACTGCCGGCGACCCAACCCTGGCCACCCGGTGCAGAGCATGTCCTCAGCCCATTGAGCCTGTGTTACGCCTCATCCTTTGGTATTCTTTGCGGGAGGGGTGACGTTTTCTCAAACACGTAGAGATATCTGGCGTTTGTAGCACGGATTCAAGTGGTATTTTTCATGAAAAGGCTTAAATAAATACGTGCTGGGTAGTCCTGTTTCTCGACAGGTGCATTCAAGAACCCTGGATTCAATAAACTGTTCTCAAACATCACATGATGCCAGATCAGGGGGGACTCGACACTTTCTCCAAAGGCGGGCCAAAGAGAGCATCCTGGGCGGGCGGGCGGGCGGGCGGCGCGCCGAGAGAGGCAGTACCAGCTCACCTCCCGGCGAGCAATCCACTTCCAAAAAAAAAATTGAAGAAGAAAAAATCAAGTTGGTAAAAACATGCTCGGAAAGAGAAACGGCCACGTCTTGTGCACAACCTCTTCACAGAGTAACTCGGAAATCAAGCCGTCAAACAACCCGGGAAAGCCGGCGGGCAGAAGCCGGCCCCTCAGCTCGCTCTCAGGGGAGGCGGCCGCGAGCCCCAGCCCGCGCGGGTGGACAGTTCCCTGGTGCTGAAGTTCCGCCGCCCCCGGGCGCAGCCCGCGCCGCACACCCGGGGCAGGCAGGACGCCGCGCCCCTGGGCGCGACGCTCCCGCGGCTCCCGGGATCCCGGAGATTCGCCCGTCGCCACCGGGAAGAGCCGCCGGGGCCGGGCGCCCGCACCCGCCGAGGGGGGAGGGGCCGGAAGATGGCGGCGGCCGCACACCCACCCGAGCCGCGACGGGGAGCCCGAGGCCGCCGCCCGCCGCCCGCCGCCCGCGCCGCGCCCGCCGCCCGGCTCCGCTCTCCCCGCGCCGCCCAGGCCCGAGCGGCCGGCGGGGCGCGGCCCGAGGGAGAGGTCGGGGCGGCCGCCGAGGCCGGCCCCGAGCACCTGTGCACGGCCATATTGGATTCCGCCCCGCTCCAGTCACCGGTGGCCCGGGCCCGGCACGCGCCGCGGGGACCCCCGAGCCCCCCGCCAGCCGGACGGACGGACGAAGGACGCCCTCGGGAACGCAAAGCAGCGCCCCGGGTCGAGCCCGGCCGCCCCGACCCACACGCGCACCCACACACACACACACACACACACACACACTCGCTCTCGGTCTCTCTCACATACACTCGCTCACACACACTCGCTCCCTCACACACAGTCGCTCTCGGTCTCTCACACACTCTGTGTGTCTCTCTGTCTCTGTCTCTCTGTCTCTGTCTCTCACACACACACGCGCGCGCACACACACTCGGTCTCTCACACGTTCTCTCTCTCTCTCGCTCTCGGTCTCTCACACACTCTTCTCTCTCGGTCTCTCTCGCACACGCGACACCCGGCGCGCGCCGACACCCGAAAAAGTCTCCGGGCGGCGGAGCCCGGGGCAGCGGCCGAGGCGAGGCGGGGAGGCGGAGCGGGTCTTACTTGAGCACCGACTGCTCCTTCTCCTCCTCCTTCTTCTGGCGGTCCATGACGGCCAGGATGATCTTCCTCTCCTCCTCCGTGAGGTGGCTCAGGTCGGGCATCTCGGGCTGCGGCGGCGGCGGCGGCGGCTGCGAGGCCGCCGGGGCGGCCGCCGGGCGGCCCCGCGGCCCGAGCGGCGCCGACATGTTTGGGGGAGCCCGAGCGGCCGCGGCGGGCGCGGAGGCCACTCGGCCGGCGACTGCGGCGGCCCCGGCGCCGGGACCCGCACATGCAAGTCAATGGCCTCCGGTCGCCGCCGCGGCCCCCTCCCCCGAGGCCGGCGGGGGGGGGAGGGCGCGCGGGGGGCGGGGGGCGGCGGCCGAGCGCGCGGCGGGCGGAGGCGGGGGCGGGAGGGGGCGGCGCGCGGCGCCGGCGGGGTCCGGCCGCGGGGGGAGGAAGCGGGGAGCCGGGAGTCGGCCGAGCGGCGCGGCCGTCCCGCCGGCGGAAGCGGCTGCCGGAGCCCGCGGGGAGGAGAGGGGCGCGGGGCGGCCGCCCCCGAGGGCCGGCGGGGCTAACGCGGAGACGCGGCCGCCGCCCGGGCCGGGCCGGGCCGCGGGGCCGGGAGACCCGGGGCCGGGGCCCCTCGGCTGCCAACGCCCGGAGGCGAGCGAGCTCGGGCTGCGGCGCGCCGCGGGGTCGGGCGCCGCCCGCTCCTCATCACGCGCCCGCCCTGGTGTGTGTCGCGTGGGGGTCCCCGGGGGTCCCCGGGCCGCGCCGCCGCCGCCTGGGGTCGGTGGCGCGGACGCCGCGGGCCCTGCTGCCCTCGCTGCCGCCGCCGCTGCCGCCGCTCGCTGCCGCCGCCCGCTGCCGCCGCCCGCGCCTCCTCCGCCTCGCGGGCTCCTCCCGCGGGGGCCGCGTCACCTCGCGCTCAGGCCCGGGCGCGGCGGGCGCCCCTCCCGAGCGCCACCGGGAGGCCCGGAGGGGGGCGGGGGGCGGGGGACACGGGAGTTCAAGGGCGGAGTTGCGGGGCCGCGTGTGCGTGGGAGGGAGCGCCTGAGGAGCGGGAGCTGGGGGCGGGGGGGCCGGTGTGTGCCCGGGTGCAGGGGGCGCGCCGCGCTCGGGTCGGGAGGTGCAGGAGTGCGAGCCTGGCGCCGGGGAGGGGCGGCGGGACGGGTGTCAGGTCTGGCGACGACGCCGTGGGGGCGTCCGAGGTTCGGGAAAGGGGGGATCTGGGGGGCGGAGGGGCGGCACCGGGGCGCCAAGCCTGGCGTGGCGGGGAGGGTTGGGGGGATGGTTGAAGGACTGAGCGAGCGGAGGGGGTCCCCGCGCTTTGGGGGTGGAGTTCGGGAACTCGAGAGGACAAGGGGGGATTGGCCAGGCGGGGGGGCTTAGGTGAGGTCGCGGACCTCGCGGGGGTGGGGAGGAAGTTGTGGGTAACGCCAGGGAGAGGGAGAACACGGAAACGGGGGCTCGGGACAGGGGTATTGCCCCCGGTAGGGGGGTGCCTGGAGGGGTGCCGGAGCCCAGGGTTTGGGTCAGTTTGGCCCCTGGGGGCTGGCCTGGAGAGAAGCGGGGAGCCAGGCGATGGGATTCGAGTTTGGAGTCTGGTGGGCGATTCGTGGAGCTAGGGGCGCGAAGTCGAGTGCCAGCCGGAGAATCAGCAGCTGCGAGAACCGCGGCGGCCACGCGCGCAGGGTGGGGCTGAGCGCGCCCCCACAGCCCCCGGCGCGGACGGCGCAGGGAGATCCGGGAGGTGGAGGGCAGAGGTGAGGTCGCGAGGGCCCAGCCGGGCCGAACAGGCAGCGGTCGCCCTTCCGCGAGCTCTCTGAAAGCTCTGCGTGCGTGAGCAAGTGCGTGTGCGTGTGCGTCTGTGTGTGTGTCTGTGTGTGTCCCCTACCCCGCCTTCCACGTTCGCGCTGTTTTGTACCAGACTGTGCATGTGTATGTGTATTCGTGCACGCACAGTATACGTGTCTACCCATACCCCGCCTTCCATCTTCGCGCTGTTTTGTACCGGGCTAGATTCTGATCTGCTGAGTAGTACAAAGCCTTTGGGGGTTGTATTGTATTTACCTTCGTGGTGTGAGTAGTAAGCGCTCTCCTCCCTCTGTTCCCCAGGTACCATCTGACTAGCTCCCAATTTAAGAAAGCTGGGGACAGACGAAGCAGCCCTAGAAATCTCTTGTGATTTCTAAGCTCAAAGGTCTGTATTTCTTTTTCTCCCTGGCCTTGGGAAGGGAAACTGGTTTACTGCTATTTTTTTTTTCAAAGTGTCTGCTTCAAATCAAACTCATAGTCCAAATCACTCTGTTCTCTTCTCTTTGTTGCTAAACAAACTGGGTGAAATTATATGATTGTCAGTTTACTTGATCTTGTTTTCCCACTTAGAAAGTCTTTATAAATCGCTAATCCGATCTCCCCTTACGGGATATCGAACACTGAACTCGGCCAGCATGGAAATGGTGATGCTGGAATTAGATCCTAGATGTTTGTACTGAGATTTGAAACCTCCTTGGTTTTCAGCTCTTACTGCATTCAAGTTACCCAGCTCACTTTTTTTTTTTAGCGCCACTAGGTTCAATGAATACATAATTAAATAAATCTCTGGGATTAGGAAACTGGTCAGGGATGTGCTTTGAAAAGTCCCCCAATGACTAAAATGTATGGCCTCCGGGCCAGAGAGATTGTACAACAGGTAAGGCTCTTGTCTTACATGTGTCGGACACTCTTTGGATTCCCAGCATCATATATGTGATGCACTGCTAGGAGTGATCCCTGAACACAGAGGAGTAAGTCCTCAGCACTGCTGGGTATGGCTCAAAAAAATAAATAAATAAAATGTATGGTCAGGGCTGAGAACTCCATTATACGCATCACAAGATAGATCATGGGAGACCCCTGGGATATGGAAAATAGCAAAAAGAACAGTTACGGGGAATCTGTATTTTCTTGCCTAAAATTGCCAGTTAAGTTTCTTCTGATAACAATTGTACATTCCCTCTCATACACAGTGGCAGGTATAGAAATAGATAAATCTATGACTTTTGCTCAGAACCCCTATGTTCCACAAAAAATATACCAAAGCTCCTTTAAAAGAGGAGAAAGCCACACTAAAAATAATCAGAGAATGGGTGGAACACTCACTCTACCTTACTCAACTATTTCTGAGCCAAATGTGAAGTAACACCCCCACTGCCCAGCCCCTGTCGACTCGAGAGAAACAAGCCAAAATACTCCACTGGGAAGCAGACACGCTAACATTAACTTTGGTTATGCTGAGACTGTGCAAGGGGAACTCAAAAGTAGCGTTTCCCCCTGGGACAATTTGGACTTCCTTTACAGGAAAGACTCAGGTTGGGGGTCCTGCACAGTCTCCTACCAGTTACATGGTTTGCTTTGAGATGCCTGTACTGGTTTCTCCCTCTGCCCTGCAGTATATGAAATCCGGGGTGCATGAAGGCTTGATTCAGGATGGAGCAGAAATTAGTGGGCTTTCTGTTACTATTTGCTGCCGTCCTTAGGAGTCGAAGTATCTTAAAATCATCTCTGTCTGATGTGCAGGCCCCTTTTCAAAATAAAGTGTTACCAAGACATACATTATTTAATGGACTATAACCCAGAACTTTTTTAATGAGCTACTTTTCAAAAATTTTTAATGGGCCCCATTTTCGCATTAAACTGATAGATTCAGTGCTGAAGAAAGTAGTGACCTTGCATATAGCCACTTCTACAAACCCTGGCTTGATCCCAGGTACCACACACATACAGTCCCTTGAGCATGTCAGGAAGCATTCTGGAATACAGAGCCAGGAAGATCCCCTGAGAACAGCTAGGCATGTATGAAAATACCAGAAAGATATAATACATATAGCCTTGCATGCAGCTAACCAGAGTTTGATCTTTAGTATTGCATATAGTCCCCAAGCACCAGGAGTGATCGCTGAACTCAGAGCCAGGAATAAGCCCTAAGCACAGCCCAGAAACCACACACACACACACACACACACACACACACACACACACACACACACAGAGTCTGTATTTTGCTCTTACTACAATATGAATTCTGTCTCTTTTATGTTTGGAGCCTACTCCTGGCTCAGTGTTTGGGGAACCAAGTGATGTGAGAGATCAAATATGGGGTTCCTACATAAACAACATATCTCCCCATCTCTCCAGTATGGATCTTATGAGGTGATGTGTTCTGTTTTCTTGGTTTAGTTCTCATACCTCATTCAAAGCATCTATTTTTCAGAAGCATGACCCTCAGATATATTTTGGAACCTGTGAGGTCTTCAAGCACATCCTCTCTTGAACCACAACAATTTATTTATCCTTTGTCATGAATGTGTACTTGCTCAGCTCAGCTTGGATCTCCTTTTCCATTCCTTGTACAATAAAATGAGCGGAACTTAAAGAATGAGAAAACTCTTACTGGAGTCTGAAGCGAGGGAGACAGGAAGTGGTAGCTATAGATAAGGAGAGATAAAGCTGTAGAAAGAAGTTGTGGCCAGCTATGCTGAAGAATATGTCTATTGCCATAAAGTAGTGAGCAGGGCTGTAGCTGTTTGGTTTGGGTTTTGTTTTGTTTTGAAAACTGACATGATCAGCTTTGATTTTCAGGACAATATCCAAAACACCTGCTAATATCATTGTTCGTGTACAACAGTTTAGGCTTACAGACCCAGAGAGCAGAATTTTTTACTTCCTGAGTTCAGAATTTATTTTTTCTGGCTATTTGGTCAGTACATTTTAACAGCATAATAACGAGGCCAAGGTCACGGTTTCAATCCCTGGGTGACTCAGTCGGTGCAGTGGCCACAGCGACTGTTAATCTTTGCCAGTTGTCAGATGACAGCATATCATCTTGACCAGGAACTGAATGAAATAATTGTTGGGTCTGATTCATCAAAAGGCAATCAGTACTATTGGAAAATTAACTCCTAGGGCTTAACTATTAGGCTATAGAACCATGCTGTCCATTTAGGTTAAAATATCATTATTTTATTAGTGGTAACAAAAGAGCTCAGTAGCAAAGAAAGAATACATTGTTCTTAGAAAGGATGTTAAAATGCAATTAGTGGGTTTTGGGGCCTAGACATAATGAAAAATGGTGGGTATTGATATAAATTAGGTTCTTTAATTACTTTGTGTGCATTAAGCAATATGAGACTATTCCTAATTTTATCATAAAGTTCACACAGGCATTTGTATTTGAAGGATCTGGGAAAATCTTATTTAATCAAGTTTGTTTATCATACCATC